TCCCAGGCCAGTCCAACCCCCAAATTCCTGAGGCCAAAATCTTTCATGGAGGGATCTAGACCTTAGGAGAAAGGCTGAGAGCATCTGATCCTCATCTGACTTGGGCCTCTGTGGGAACTCCTGAAGACAAAAGAAATCTGGCCACTCCAATGTAAAATCAAAAGAGAGAACTGGAAGCTTAGAGGAACCAGCTTTACATGCCCAAAAAGTAAACCACAAAGAAACATAAAGTTCAGAAAAAGAAGCAGACCTAAACTTGAAAGCTTGAGTTATAGGTGAGTGCGCGCGCTGGGTGCACTCCCGGAATGGCACGGCGGGCTTCTCCGCCACTTCGGGTCTCGCGTCTCTGTCTGCCACTCCGGTGTTGAAAGTCTCCGCTGCTGGAGCGTTGTCCAGCCGAATCCCACCCTTAATTCACCCGTGTACTTTCCTCAGGAAGCGAGGTCCACTGGCCATTGGACCACACGGGAAGAGTACGAGGACGGCGAAAGCTAGGATGTCTGCAAGTCGGTAACGGACGAGTGCGTCCCCCGGAGAGGCTGGGTCGCCGGTAGTAAGACACAAGACTCAAGACTCCGCTTAGTCTGTGTTACAGCTTTATTAAGTGTTTCTGCTCCAGCTCCTTGCTGTCCAGCTCTCTATTGATCCAGCTCTCTGCGACCCAGCTCTCTGATATTGAGAGAAAGACTGGGATATTTATACCATAGGGGTAGTGGTAAAAGCTTTGGCTGATAGATACTTTAGTGAGACATTCTATTTTCATATGGAAGTGGATTTCTGCCATGCTGCCAGACCTCTGACTACCTGAAAAATCACACAGGAAAGCATGGTATTCCTATGGAGTGTATGCAATAGCAAAGAGCCTTTATTCGGGCTTAAGCTCGGGCCTTCAGATTTCACCGACGCAGTGGATCTGTACTGAGAGCCCTGAACTAGGGTGGGATATGCTTTTATATGGAAGTTTCACAGAAGCCCACACATGCCAAACATCCTTTAAAATGATTGGATGGTCCTATGCCCTGAGTACAGGGAAGATTCTTATTGGTAGGGGCTGTCTTTAGGTCACTGGGATGTGCTGACTGTCATCTGTGGGGCCAGAAGTTTCTGTTTTTACCTTATAATGTTGCTATATGCCTGGGCTTGCTTGATCTATAGCTTTCTGGGATGGGGGTGGTAGCTGAAGATTACAACATGCCTGAAACAGCTAGTCAAAATGGACTTAGTGCCGTCCTAAGCCAAGCAAATTACAGAAGCAGAAAGAAGCAGTTAGACGAGTTGAGGTCTCACACCTCACTCTACCCTGCAGGGTGTTATGTGGGGTGAGGTGGGGAGGAGTGATAAACAGGTACCCTCCCAGAGGCCCTCGGGCTGCAAGGCTGCAAGTTGAGTAGTGGGGGTCTCACGAGGGCATCCATGACCCTGGCTCATGTCTTACCCCCACCTCAGAGCATTAACGATTGGAGGTGCCAGATTCTTCACCCAGATGGAGGTCAGCAGCAGTCCTGACCCCAGGACTGGGAGCTTTGGCACAACAGGGCATGTCCATGGAAGGCAGTACTCCTGCCTCCTCTCCCAACCCTCAGGGCCCCCAGGTGTCAATGACCTGAGGACCCTGCCAGTGGACAGCCTTTCAGGGGACAGCTGACCATGCTGGCTGACTCCAGTGCCTGCAACTTGTGTCAGGGACTTTCTAGAGTGGGGTGTCCCTGTCCTCAGGTCCTGTTCCTGCTTCTGGGGCTGTCCACTCTGCACTGTCCTCCTACAAAGGCATGTGGGGCTGAGTGGGAAGACTGTCACATGTAGCAGACTCCTCTGTGTCCCTCTGGAGTGGGACCCTGGAGGACTATGGACTAGTCAGGACCTGGAAGGGGTTGTTGGTGGATCAGGGCCAGGTGTCTTATAGGGTGCCTCACTGGAGCAGGAGGGTGTGTCCTGGGTGTGGACAGGAGTTGGCTCTGAGTCAGGGAAGCCCAAGACTTTGGAGCTGCTGTTGATTCAACTGTCAGCAGAGGGTAGTGGTCCCACAGCACAGGCACGGATGTGATGGGTCAAAGGGCCTTGAGGAGCCTGCTTTTCTGTATCCATTGAAGGTGTTTCGTACTCTTAGGAGCCTGGGCCTGTAGTAGGCCCCCTACTTCTAGTCTTGCTGAGGCTCACACCATCAGAGAATAGCTGTAGCCTGGGCAATCCAAGGACATTGTCCCAGAAGCCCCTATTCACATCTGTGAAGGAGAAATAAATCTGCCTTGCTAGCTCCCTCCCAGGGGACAGGTGGGAAGGTACTCCGGCTTCTCGAGAATGACAGCGGGTTCCCCCTTACCCTTAGGGGCATAGGTTTTTGGCTCCTGCTCCTAGGCTCCTATGGAAAGAAAGTATCATCCCCTGGCAGAATTGTGCTCTGAAGTGTATGGGCTAGGGAGTTGTGGACAGTGGGTGGGTGATGCTGGGGATAGCCCTGGTGTGGTGACTGGGAAGTGGCTAGAGTCTCTGGGGCAGGGCCTGTTAGAGAGGGTGTAAGAGGAGGAGGGGCCACTGGATCAAGTTCCCAGTTCCCAAAGGCTGGGGTTCCTAGGTCAGGCTGTCAGTCAGCAAGCCCAGAGACCTTTCTCTGGAGGCAACATCAGTGCCAAGGTGGGCTCTGGGTTTGTAGTGCCCCTGGGAGACAGACACTTCCACAGGATACCTAGAGGGCCTGGGACAGTACTGAGGGTGGGACAGGGGATTTGCTGATCTCGCCTCCTCCACCTAAAGCTGTGGTTCTCTGGGGATGACCTGACAGAGTTCCTCCCACTATACCCCTCCCATAACAGGTCCCCGTAGCTTCTTACTAGATGCCACCTGACCCTATGTCACTGCTGGTTGTTGCCCCCTCCCCTCTCCCCCTGGCCGGCTGTTGGCAGAGGGTCTCACTTGAACACTTGATAACAGAACTCCTGCAGCAGGCTACCGCAGCACCACTGAACTCCGGGGCTTGTCTTTCACTTTTACTTTTGGTATCGCTGGCTATGCTGAGGGTGCGTGTAAGCCCCAGAGCCCGAGAGGCTCTCCAATCTGCGGGGTCTTGAACTGGAACACAGAAGCTCTGCTGCTCTGGGGGCCTCCATCCTGAAACCAGGCCCCCACAGCCCACATGTTCAGGCTGGTGAGTCGCTGAGCCCCTTTCTGTCCCTAAGTCCTGTGCCTCCCAGCCCCTACTCCAGCTACAGATCACCTCTGACATTTCCCTTCCTCGGACTTTACCACCTTAGCGCTGTCTGGGCTGCCGGGGTCTTTGTTCTTGGGTGCCAGGCTGGCTGGAGTTGACTGAGCACCTCTGCGAGTGGAGAAGCTACACGTAGGACAGCCAGGGTTTCATTCACAGACCTGTGCTTTGGTCCTCATTCAAGAGCAGGTGGTAGCCTTTGATAGCCCTGGGCCAGAAGTGTTCCTGGGTAGGTGCTGTAGCAAGCGCCTGACCACCTGCAGTTCTATGCCTGCTGATAAGCATATTTGTATAGTGGAGATGGCGGTCAGGACCAGCTAGCACCAGCTAGGATGGTTTCCTGCCTGCCCAAGTGGGCAACCCAAATGACTGGACAGACAGGGCCACTCTCCCCCATAAGTCCTTGAAAAACCTGTCACTTATTTCCTGCTTTGAGCCCCTTTGGGCCAGCTCTGGATGACCATGCTGCTTCTCCAGCGGTCAGCAGGCCCAGCACAGACCTGCAGGGTATCAGCTCAGAGGGCTGAGCTCCTCAGGGAAGGTTCAGTTCTCAGTTTCCAGAGCCCCATTGTCAGACATGAAATGGAGTCTGGAGAAGGGAGGTTACCCAGGGCTTGGACCTTGAGCCTGTGCTGGCCCCACCTGGACACTGCTAGCCACTTCCCCCGCTGCATAGATGGTGGACTGACACCATCCTCGGGGAGTCACTGGTCTGGGAAGAGGGAACCGGATGCTCCCCTCAATACTCATTCCCTCCCCTCAGGTGCAGTGTGTCCTCTTTTTGAGCTCCTTGTGGTGTGTCCCCGCCCAGCCCCTCTGCCAAGAGGAGGAATATCCCGTGGGGGCCGAGTGCTGCCCCAGATGCAGCCCAGGTAGGAGAGCCCCCAGGAGCAGTGCTGAGACAGCCTACCCTATCCTACCCTAGCCCCTTTGCATCTGGGTCTTCAGTCCTGGGTGGCACCAAGCCTATGGCCCAGGGAACCCAGGCAGTCCAGGGCCTCAGTCCAGGGACAACCCTCTGCAGCCTAACATCTCAGCCTCTGGGACGCTGCTGCTGTACTCCCTGAGACGGTCCTGGTGAAAGGGCAGGCCCAGCACAACCAGAGGCTGAGGCTGAAAGGGGGCCAGGGTCAGAGCCAGGCCTGGGTGAACCAGGAGGCCTTACATTCTTCCAGAACTTCTGACTTGCACATAGCGGGCACACAGAGGCAGATAGGCCAACAAGTCCTGCAGGGCCTTTGTTCTCCTGGTTGGGTGTCCCATCTACTGGGGTTCCAGGTGGGAGTACTGGGTGGATTTCTGCAGGGCTACCTCACCACTGAGAGACTGTGGGCTCTGGCTGCAGGTTACCATGTGAAGCAAGTCTGCAGTGAGCTGACAGGCACAGTGTGTGAGCCGTGTTCCCCACAGACCTACACTGCCCATGCAAACGGCCTGAGCCAGTGTCTGCCCTGTGGAGTCTGTGATCCAGGTAGGAGCTCTGTGGCAGATGCTCAGCACACCCACCTCTGTGGGAGCCTCCCTCAGGACTATAGGCCTGTTTCCTCTGCTGGCTGCCCCATCACTCTCACCTGGTCCTCCTGAGCCTAGGCACTGGCTCTAGAAGAGGGCCCCGACCCAGGGGGAAGCTTACTGGGTGCAGGGCAGGCCTTCCTGCTGCAGTGAGCAGGCTCTCAGCATGCTCACCCCATTCCAGCTGCTGAGGTCCCATCTGCACAGACCTCACCCCACTGTCTGCTTTCTTCTCTGGCACCCAGTTGATATGGGTGATGAGAATCTCCCTCATGCCTCAGTTTCCCTGCCTGTAAAGTGGGTCTCTGTGAGGTTTGCAGTCTCAGAGGACTTCTGTGGGCCTCACTCTTTCCCATCCGTATGAAGGAACCCAGGAAAGGATCACCAGGAGAGCTGGTGACGTCCTGGGCCTAGGGAGACAGGGAGAGGGTACAGGTCCTGGAAGGTCCTTTGAGGCAGTGAGGTGGCCAGTGACTTTGTTCATACCGAAGCCCTGCACCATGTAGATACCATTCAAGGTGACTCTGTGCCTATCACATGGAACTAGTCTCACCCCCTGCCCCCAGAGGGTGACCTTGTACCTCCCAACAGTGTCTATGTGGAGTCAGCCTTACCCCTATAGAGGGTGACCCTATAACCGCCTCTCCACATGCAGTGCCTATATGGACTAAGCCTCATCCCACAGAAGTGACCCCATAGCCCCCCACACAGTGCATGTGGAGTTGGCCTCACCCATACAACAGCATGGCAGGAGACCGGCTATTCCATGGATGAGGAAACTGAGGTCCCAAGAGCCACCACAGCACTCTGGCAGCAGAGTCGGTCACCTCCAGATGACCGGGAGGCCTGGTTGAGAGGGCTATGCCAGGAGTAGGAGAGGACAGAGGGAAGGGGGATTCAGATTTAGTCAGAACCCAGACTCTAGCCCTCCAACTAGTCTACGTCTCAGCTAGCAGGTGACCCAGGCCAGGGCTCAGGCCAGACTCTGGTCGTGCCTGACTTCAACCTGCAAGCCGTGGCTTGGTTGACAGCACACCTAGTCAGTCTTGAGCCTACACCGTGGGGTTAGGTGCTGGGGGGCCTGATGGCAGGTGGGGCTGGCCCAGGTGTGCTGGGGCAGAGGAAGGAGGGGTGCTCTCCCTGAAACTCCTACCCCATCCCCTGCTGCTGCTCTCAGCTCCTTGTCTTGGATGGCAGATATGGGCATGGTGACCTGGCGGGAGTGCTCAGGCAGGGAGGACACCATATGCCGCTGCATACAAGGCTACTTCTGCCAGACCCAGGATGGGGACCACTGTGCCATGTGTCTTCCCCACAGCACCTGCTCTCCTGGACAGAGGGTGCAGACAAGAGGTGAGCTGATAGGCAATTGGTACCCCCTCCCAGGTCACCCTTTGTGGGAGACAGTCTTGAGCCTAGAGTGGAAGTCCTAATGACAACCATACAGCTGTTAGGGTCTGAGAATCAAGAATAATTCCCACAGACACCAAGAAGATTGTACAAAAAGTTTATTCGGGAATTTAGATAAAAAACAATCAAATGGTGGCTAGCCGGGCACAGACTTCACGAGCCAAAGATGGGAGTCTGGCCCCGAACAATAGCAGGCAGGGGCTTTTATTGGGGAACTCCACAGAAACCCTCGTGTGCCAAGCATCTTTTAAAATTATTGGCTGGCCCCATATCCTGAGTACGGGGGAAGTTTTGATTGGTAGGGGCTGTCTTCAGGGCATTGGAATGTGCTGACTGATATCTTTAGGGCCAGAAGTTTTTGTTTATACCTTATAAGGCTTTTACATGTCCAGGGCTTGCTTAATCTATAGCTTCCGGGGGAGGGGGGTAGCAACTGGAAATTTACAACCTGCTTGGTCTTGTCCGGGCTTGTCTGAAGAAGCTAGCCAAAATGGAGTCAGAGCATTCTGGCTCTTCATTGCCCCGTAGAGTTATGGCAAGGGTTAAATCTTTAAGCCAAGCAAATTACAGAAGCAGACAGAAGTGGTTAGACAGTGCATTTAGGGCGGTGGAACCATTTCTATACTGTCGTAAGGCTCGGGGTCTCGATTTTAAATGAGCGTACTGTGAACGCAGTACCATCGGTTGGACTGTCTGTATCCGTTCTCGGATGAATTTGAGCAAGGCATTAAGAACACAGGGGCCACAGGTGACTGCTAGTAGGATAAGAGGAGAGGTCCAACCATCGCTGAGATCAAAGTTGTTAACCATGGGGACCAGTCACATGGGGATTTGTACCGATTTTGTTGGTTTAGTTGTTCCTTTTCTCTTTCCTTAAGTCTTTCACAGACCTCGGCCAAAGACTGTTTTAGAACTCCCGAGTGGTTGACATAGAAACAGCACTGTTCCCCTAGGGCAACACAGAGTCCTCCTTTTTCTAGAAAAAGTAAATCCAGCCCTCTCCTATTTTGTAAGGTTACCTCAGCTAAAGCGGATCGATGTTTCTAATGATTGTATGTCTAAGTCTATGGCCTGTCTAAGAAGGTGATCATTTTTGTCCTGAAGGACTAGCGCTGAAGCCCCCAGACTAGTTGTAGTCGTTACTCTGACCCCGAGTAAAGTAGACAGGACAATTGCAGTGGTTCCTATGGCCCTACGAGGTCTAGACTCTGCTGAGACTCTGGTTTCCATTTCTGTGTCTGTTCTGTAATATAGATGGGGAACCAGCTGCACTCGCACACAAAAATCCCCGGTCTGGTTTAAAATGGATGAGTGGAGGCATGTAGTTAGGCCAGAGGTACAGGCCCACCAAGTGGAGTTGGGGGGCACCATATATGGGTTAGGTATGGGTTAGGTGTAGTAGATGTAGTTACATAGATGTTGGTAAGAAGGGGGGACAATTTTATGTGAGGGAGTCACGCATAGCTCTTTTCCATACACTTGGGTGAGAGTAAGCCCCCTTCTCCCTGTAGGTGGGGGGATTCTACAGGCAGTGGGGTCAGAAGTGACAGTATAATTTCCTGGGGGGGGCTAACCCTTCATAAAAGGGAGGGCTCGGGTCCATGCAAAACCAGCAATGGATAGTGAGGTTAGGGGAGGTATTATTTAAAGCAATAAAGGTGGCATTTAGGAGGTTTGTAAGTCCAGGGGATGGCTGCAGGGGCTTTTGGGCCTTGTGGACCCCTGAGGGGGTAGATCTCTGGGTGGGCAGAGTGGTGGTTTTGTCAGGTTGGACAATTTGGCTAGGGGCTGGCCGTTCGGCAGATTTAAAAATTGTCAAGGCTGGTGTTGGTCATCCAATGGGCTGTAACATTGTCTGAGCTGGCCCCATCTGAGTTCCTAAGACTGGACTCACCTGAAGACGGACCAAAAAATGTATCCCTGGGTCAGTCCCTGAGGTGTGTAGCCTGAGGCCCCAAGTTCGCCCATCAACCCATTTTTGTTGTTGTTTGAGTTCCCTTCCCATTTGGGGTAAAGCTCAAGGAGATAGGGATGCATCTAAGGGAAGTACAGGGTCCATCAAGTTGTCCTGTGATGCAGTTTCTAATAAGCCAGGACCAGCCAGGGACTGCAGTTACCTGGATTAAGTCGGTAGTGACTGGGGCAGCCCAGTTAACATATCCAGTGGACACGCAGCTCGAGAGGCACAAAAATAGTCCCTCGCCCCCCACAGGTACTTCTCTGGTTACCATTATTGCCCGGGCAAACATAAAAGTGGTGTTCCCGAGTCCTGTTTCGGGCATGGGGGCTCTGGCAACTGTAGTCTGCAGTGTCTGATGGAGAGGACAAGTCCCAAGTTCCTTCAAGCAGATCACAAAGGTTGAATGTAATCTTGGGGAACCAGGTGCCTAGAGGTCCAGATGAGAGGAGATGTTCACTATCTTCCTGGTGGATGTGCTGCTAACTATCCAGGTGAGGTTGTGGAGTCCATAGGGGGCATTAGCTAGTGCAGGCTCTGTGAGAAAACATAGAAAGGCAACAAGGGTCAGGGTGTAGCGGTGATTTTTAGCTTGAGAGGATTGGCTTTTACCCGTGTGGCCTTCCATCTCTTGTTCAGTTCATCAGGTTTACTGTTTGACACCAATTTCAGGTCTGAATGATATATCCAGGTCTTGACACCGTCCACTTTGACCACAGAGGGAGTGGCGAGGATTATGATGTGTGGTCCCTTCCAACAAGGTCCCAGGGTCTCCTTGTGGTGTCATCTCACCCAAACAAGGTCTCCTGGCTTGAAGCCATGTGGCTGGGCCAGTGGCAGTTCGTAGATGTGCCTCAGCAGAGGGAAAATGTTGTCTAGTGCAATCTGTAAGGCCTGTAGGGACTTAAGAAATTGGGATCCAGACAAATCAATTAGCACATCTGAAGGCAACTTGGGAAGCAAAGGGGGTGGTCAGCGATACACGATATCATAAGGTGTTAGGCCTTGAGTATAGGGGGTGTTTCTGACTCTATATAAGGCAAAAGGCAGGATGCCCTTCCAGTCATCACCAGTCTCTAGGGTTAATTTGGTTAAGGTCTCCTTAAGAGTCCAATTCATCCTTTCTACTTGTCCTGAACTCTGGGGGTGATACACACAATGCAGCTTCCAATCAGTCTTCAATGTTTTAACTAACCCTTGAGTTACCTTAGAGATGAAGGCTGGTCCATTATCTGACCCAATCACAGAGGGGAGTCCATACCTTGGTATCAGTTCATTGATGATCTTTTTGATTACTACTGAGGTGGTTTTCCCTTGGTGGGAAAGGCTTTGACCCAACCTGAAAATGTATCTACAAAGACTAAGAGATACTTATAGCCATACCTGCCAGGTTTTACCTAGGTGAAGTCCACCTCCCAATGGACTCCAGGCGCAGTGCCCCTCTTCTTTCTGGCTGGGGGCATGGCTTTCCCTCTTGGGTTAGTAACCTGGCAGGGGGGACATCTGGAAAGGCAGTTCTCAATTATTTTAGTTAGGTCAAAGATGTGGTACGGAGTCAAGAGTTCTTGTAACTTCCTTCTTCCTAGGTGAGTCCCTTTGTGGAGTTTATATATTAGGTCCTCTGCCAGCTTGTGTGGTAGAATGAGCCTCCCATCAGAGGTGTATCTCTATTCATGCTTGATCTTGGTATTTTCCAGGGAAGTTAAATCCTGATCGTCCTGAGCTGAGTAGGAGGGCTCTTCTGGCAAGAGGGGTTCAGGCAGGATAACCAGTAGGTTTGAGGCTGTTACAGCTGCTTCTCTGGCTGCTAGGTCTGCTCTCCTGTTTCCCTGTGCCTCTAGTGAATCCCCTTTTTGGTGCCCTGGACAATGGATGATGGCCAGTCTCTTTGGTAACCATATGGCATCCAGGAGTTTTAAGATCTCTTGTTTATTTTTGAAAGTCTTTCCTTCTGCTGTCAGGAGCCCCCTTTCCTTTTATATAGCCCCGTGGACATGAGCCGTAGCGAAAGCATAACGGCTATCCATGAAAATGTTAGCAGTCTGATTTCTACTTAGATTTAGGGCCTGAGTCAGGGCAATTATTTCAGCCTTCTGGGCAGAGGTCTCCACTGGCAGAAAGGAGGCCCAAACTGTTTGCAATGGACTGACGACTGCTGCCCCCGTGTGTTGGGGAACCCTGCTGCTAGGGTTGTAGTCCTCCATGTCCCGACAGCTCTAAGGGGCTCGGCGCTATATGGAAGGACTCCTCTTCTCAACAGGGGGCCCCCTGCTCTTCCTGACTTACCTGGAAAGTGCTGCCAAGCACGGATGCCTGACCTTATTTGGAACATGACCTTTGGGATAGTTACCTGGAGTAAAAACTACCCCGAGGTTTTTTCTATATGATAATTAGGCATTGCCCAGTACTGCCGCATGTAAATAAAGCGTACTCTGAGCACCTATCAGCTGAAGCATTGGCTGCTGCCTCCACACTATATTTTCCCTGACCCCCACTGAATAAATGGAGCTGTTTCACTGAGTCTGGAGCTGTTTGTATCACTGAACCTGCCTCCCCAGAAGGGCTTTCTTCCATCAGTGCTCACTGGCTGTTCTGACCCCGTTCATCGCTTCTCCTCCCTTTGTCCTCGTGGACTGGTGGCCAACGACCCACGAGGAAAGGGAGAGACCCCACACCCATGTACCTGGTTCTTTCCTTAATGAAGTTACTTCCATCCATGAACAGAATTAAGTCTGGGTGGGGCCATGGAACATCCGTCAGGTCTTCCTGAGTCCCATGTAAGCTGCAGAGTACCTCCAGGCAGTTGTGCAGGACCTCAAGATCTGGTTCTGGCGGCAAGGTGGCAGGATTGAGAGTGGTTCCAGAGAGGAACTGGATGCCGGGAGGGTTAAGGAGCAAAGCCTGATAATGTGTCAGCCAGGGATTTGTCATCCACTGGTCAGGGGGATTTCTAAGGACACCCTCAACTGAGTGGGGGGTGGTGACC